AAACATTTTTTCATGTTTTCACATATTGGGTTGATAGGATTTGTCCTATCATGTGCAACCCAATTCGTGAAAAGTGAAAAAAAAACTTTGTATATTTTGGCTAATTAGTGTATCTGATTAGTGGAAATTGTTCACATTAGAGCTTCTTTGAATAATTAATATTAAAAAGATAGTTAATACGGAATTTAAAACATTTTTTCATGTTTTCACATATTGGGTTGATAGGATTTGTCCTATCATGTGCAACCCAATTCGTGAAAAGTGAAAAAACTTTTGTTTGCTAATTAGTGGATTTAATTAGTTGAGATGGTTCACATTAAAGTTAGTTTTAATAATAAGTAATTTAAACACAGTAATTAACGAATTCCATATAGTTTTTCCTATTTTCACATATTGGGTTGTTTTCACATATTGGCACGCTACATAGCTCACCCTGCAAATGACCTTCCACAGATTGTAGTACACTGTAGATTCATTTATTTTTGTGGGGTTGAAATCTCGTGGTTTTCATAAACTAGCCTGTTTCAAGGACATTATATTTTGCTGATTTCTGATTTTCCCTATCTATATCATACCAAATTTGTGTTTTCGTGGGGATTTAATTTTGTGGATTTTTGTTATCCACGAAATAAACAAAATTTGATGTCCCACGAAAATTTATGATTTTACAGTATTTGGAACCTCCTGTATGTGCACTGTTTATCCCAACATTGAAAATGTTTGAAAATCACCTTTATGAGCTTTAAATAGTAACTACACATTAAAATTTTGTTTAATAAAAGACCAATTTTAATATTTAGATGCTATATTACTGATTTTGATAATAATGATAATAATAATATACAGCATTTGATATAGCGCCTTATCCAGCTAACATACGCCACTCTAAAGCAGTTTAATTACAGTACACTGATATACAATTATTATGTTCATTAATCAATACAATTTTGAGGAATTCGCAGGAGCTGTCTTATCAGGTGTTAACTACTAGTCCTATGCCACCTGGCTAATATTTCCCTATGTGTGTATGTCTGCGTGAGTGCTGGAGATGTAATGTGTTCTGTTTGTAGTGGGACTGTGCTTCCAACGACATCAATTATAGTGCCACCTCACTTAAATGCTACAGCACAGATACTGCAACATCCACCAAATGATGACTTTGAATGAAAAGTTTATACATACTGAAATGGCCTACGACTAGCAGGCTTGACCTGTCTATCACACTCACTGACCTTCATTTCATTGATTAGAACATGGCAAAATTGATGCTTACATTAAGTAAAATTTGCACATAATTTGTATATTTCATCTTTAGTTATGTGTAAGTTACATGTAGGTTTTGCTTTTCTTTCCTAATTGTTTTCTATTTTCAGACAGAAGTCAAAAAGCAAAACCAAAGAAGAAAGAAGAAGATGAAGAATATGTTCTGGATCCATTAAAAGTTCCAAAGCTCTCCCTTGGTAAGCCTCACCACTGTTTGAGGGCATCCTTCAATTTTAATTTAACATCACTTCCCCCAACTTACTGGCCTTATTTCTTTAACCTTTTAACTTACCTGTGTGTAGTAGATCCGTTAAAAGTTCCAAAACTCTCCCTTGGTAAACCTCACCGCTGTTTGAGGGCATCCTTCCGTTTCAATTTAACATCACTTCCCCCCAACTTACTGGCCTTATTTGTGGCAACTTTTTAACTTACCTGTGTGTAGTAGATCCATTAATAGTTCCAAAGCTCTCCCTTGGTAAGCCTCACTGCTAGCTGGGGGGCATATGTCCCCAAGTTTCAGTTTAACATTACACCCTGCTAACTTACTTGCATTTAGTATTACTGTAACCTTTTTGACTAACCTTTTCTGGATCCATTAAAAGTTCCAAAGCTGCTGTCCCTAGGTAAGACTCAATGCTTGTGGGGGCTATCCCTCAGTTTCATTTTCATCCCCCCTCTCCCCTCTACAAGTTACTTATGTTTTCACTCTAACCTTTTCTAAACTACTTGTGCTCTTATCCTTACCTTAACTTTTTTTTTGTATTTGTTTTATTTTTCAGATTTTTTTTTTATACAATGCAAAGTACATTTGTAATAGCTGAAAATCTCACACACACTAATCTCACTTCCACTTTCACACACACAATTATCGATTGTCATTTTAATACATTTTTCCAATATTTACATTTACATTGCATTTGTATAAGGAAAGCAGAAAAAGGAAAGGTTAATAGAAAGAAAATAAGACAGAGGATGAAAAAAAGACAAGGACAAA